TGGATACCCATCTGTTAGACAAAAGAGTGTGCGTTTTCTGGTTATGTAAAATTTGATTTTCAAGTAGGGGATCAGATTTATGGAGAGTTGGCTACTAAACCCAGCTAATGAGCCCCGCGAACGGTCGACATGTAGCGGGCTGTCAAGCTTTTTCTATCAAATTAATCGCTGTATTCTAAGTCAAACCACTCTCTTACGCCTACCAACCGATCAATACTGGTACAGTCATGAATGTTCATACCCGGCCCAATCTCTGTGCCTGGTCACTTGACCTCAGAATGCGCGCAAGCATGTGGAAAATACACGTGCAAGCCAGCTGCCATTCATGCCAGTTTGACCTTGATTTGATTCGGCTTATTGATTTACACCAACGGATGCCAAACGGCATTATCCGCTGAGGCTGAATAAAAGAATTTAGCGGACAGTCTGCGGAACATGCAATTTGGAATTAGTCGTTTCATTCAATACGTAAACATGAGGTACGAATCCATGTACTGCTCTGTAGTTTGCACAACAGTACCCACCGAGAAGGATACGCGGATGGAAGGGATTCTTTTGTAACTGTTTTGGACTTCTTACTCCAACAGAACACCATCCGACAAAAGACATCGACAGGCCATTCTGTGACAGTCAGCAAAAACACAACGTCTCGTTTATGTATGCTCTGGGAAGGTTTACCATATTCGTAACTTGCATAAGTGGCAGGTATTCCGCCAGAATGATTGCCGGTCTCAAAGCCGCATGTCTTCTCGTCAGAATAACATCATCATCATCATCATCATCATCATCTCTGAATGATACCGTAGGCCATCTAGTAAGAACCGGCTGCTGAAGCGTTGGACCTAACATGCATGCACACACCCCAACTGTTAGCCGAAAGGCGACTTATTTCTATACGTCATAACCTTCAGGGATTCTAGTGGTTAACAGTCTTCTGTTTGGTGGTTTGATACTAACGATCTAATTGAATAGAGTCGGTGCGTGGACTGATTATATCTCCTTGATTCTGAGCGAGACGTTCGAGCATCAGCTGCAAAGGTCGGTGAGCAGATCGACAGCCGGCTGATCAATAACCAGCATATGTTGGCTTCAGCTGTCTATCTGTTCTCTATCTGTCTCAGGCCTTCTGGGAAGTCTTTAGGTTTTGCACCAGATGGAACAGATACTCCGATGCGTTCACCCTCCTACAAAACTAAGGTAGCCAAACGTCTCACGGAAGCAATGACGCACTCGGTCGAAACGAATCTATGCAAACAACTGGAGCTCAAAGCTGTGCTAGACAAACTCAATGTGTGGAGTACTCCGCTGGCATGACTCATCATTGCCATATCACGAGGCCGCCTCTCGCAGAAAATACACGCTACTCTCTGTATCACATGATGCATGTCAGGCAAACTGACTCATCTGCCTAAAAACAATGCCCTGACCAGCCTGACCAATCAACAACTAAGACCGGAGTCCAGTCGTTGCTATGACGAGGCTGACGCGCTTTGTCCAGGGCACCCCACGGTATTCTGTTCCAGCCATCTGGACGAATAACACAAAAGCACCGAAAAATGGATATCAAACACGTCCGGTATAGTCGCCTTGACAAGTGTGGTCACATGTTTACTTCAACCAGGCAGATTTGAGTCTACTCACGGATGAACATTCAGTACAGGGCAGTTTAGGATAGCTCAAGAGAAAGAGATGGGGTGAAGAGATCGACTGAAGCGTCTACTGTCATCATCGTCAGTGTATTCTACTACATAGTGAGTAGAATGAAGGTTGGAAAGCACCGTAAATCAACCATAACCTTGGGAATTCGGGGAAAATTTGGACAGCTTGTGATTCTCCTAGGACTGCTATAAGCCGGACTGGTAGAAATCCGTGTGATAGCCAGAGAATCGTGTTTTATGGCCCTAATCTTTGAGCTAGAATGTGTGGGTTTCGGCACGCTTTTTTCCGAGCCCAATAGTCACGTTGAGCTGGAATCTGTTGTCCTCGAAGTAAGCCGGTTGACGCTCGCGAAACATAGGCAGTGCCCTGAGCAGACCAGCTGTGAATTCGGGTCCGACTTTCCCCCAAGAAAGCAAGGGAAATCGTTTTAAAGCCGTCAGTATGCCCAAATGGTGATCCATAAGCTTTCAAGGGAGATACAGCCCTCCAGCACATCAAACACACGCTTCGATCGGTCGTCCCACACACTTGATTGTTCTGGCAGCCGGTTTGTTCACAGGGTCGGACAGTTTGATTGCAAACGTTTCGTCACCAATCGAGGTGACGTCATCAGTATTCACCCTAGAAAGGCAATGATGATGTTATCTGGACGGACGACAAAACGTCTGTAATCGAACTGCCAAGTTCAGTGAATAAAGCAGTGACCATCTACGTTAAAACCAAAAGTAGGTTGTTGATTCCGTTTTTCTCCTGTGCAGACTTAAACGTTTCCTAATGAGTTCATTCATATCTTGGCAGGATGTCCATAAAAACGAAGGATTTAGCTGCATTCCAGGAGTGAGTCTTCCGTCAAAACCAGATCCGAATGCAAATGAGTGCATTTGTCGAGATTTGTCCAATTATGGTTCAAGTGGAATATAAGGTTGACGGAAACTCGGGGACTGCGCCTACCTGATGAACCCCAAGAAGAGCGAAACCGGTCGTGGATTGTCGAAGAGTTTTCAGCAACTTTGTGAGTAGTTTCCTTCATGAAAATGCTTATCAATCCTGAAGTGAACTGAAGGCGCATGAGTACCGTGACCACATAGCTGTTATCCCAGACACAGCCTTTCCAATTTCTTATCTTTCCAGATCGTATCTCATGAGCACATGTGGTCACCAGATAGATGGCAAGTTCACTCAAAGCCCATCAGCTGATTCCAACCTCTTTGTTGGTCAGGAAAGCGGGTTTTGAAATCCCAATAGGAACTTCGTCCTGTAAGTGAAATCAACCTTTGCCGAAAAGTCGAGAAGAACTGCTTCATCATTACTGAGAATCATCGGCACCGCGCGTCTCAAGAACCTCCTGGGCGGCTCGAACTGACTGGCCTAAAGGTGAGTAGTTGAAAAGTAAACCGTTCGGCCGCCATTGGTTGATCAGCAGTGTGATTAGATCATCCCTCGACAGGATAAAGTCCTGCGCACCCTTGAGTCAGGGAATTCGCATCATGTGTTGACTGACTTCTCAAGTGGTGACCTCTCAGAACAGAGGTTCACTCATTGTGTGAACTGTTCTTCCTTCTGAGTTACTCATAGTTCGTTGTGAGAATAGCCTGAAGGTAGCCGGTCCTGGCCCAACGGGGGTTAGTGTTCAACTACTCGTCGGGAGGCCGTGGGTTCGAATCACCATGGCAACTGGTGAGATGTGCAGTGCTGATGATCCCCAATAAGAACTGAGCGATTCTCAACCTTTCGACATAGACTGAATTAGCTTACAAAGGGGAATCTCCATTTATATGGCATTCACTAATACAGATAGTTGCCTTGAACCTTACTCAGAATTGCTGCGATGTTACTTTGAATAGTAAAGTTGTTGTAGCAAGGATACGGTCAGCGTGCGTTGGTCCGTGATTTGAAAGTCCATTCGTGTGGAGCGAAAAGGTCACAGAGTGCCTTTAGCGAATAGTTAAAAAGAATAATTGATGACGTATTTTCAGGTCCTCGAGCTTGTAGCTTTGACTGAACGATCGATCTCTCTCTTCTGATGAGTGGAGCATTTCTCAGTGCAACTCGCGGAGGCAACATGACAGAATTGGATGCACGATTTGATCAATTTTCACGGTTCTGACTTGTAAACTATTCACGGTTCTCCACGTGTTTTTGTAATGGATTCTTTCATCATCAAATTCCTGAAACTTAGTCATACAAAGGTACTGGTAGTTTGCACATTCATCCTGTTTTAAAACAACAGCGATTTACTCGAACAGGTCCACCGGACCCATGTTTTCAAATCAAAATCGCAGTCGGTTGTTCGGCATGCAGTAAAAGTAATTCTACTCAGGTCATCATCATCAAAGACAGCAACATCAGTGTTGGCATTGATGCGTCACTGCCGTAATTCTACTCAGGTGCGTCAGATGAACCGTGTGAAGCTGTTGAGGTGTCTGACTCCATCCTTAGCGTGCCTCACAGATCCAGAGAGAGAGCATGAGCATGAACGAAGGATAAACAAATCACCCAGGAATGCAGAAGAATACCAAACGCCGGTCAACGACTCAGCGATGGCGGTACATGCCTTAGACACGGGACACAGAATAGATCTGGAGAATGTGGAAGTTTTAAGATGTGGACTGCGATTCACACCACAGCGGCTGATGGCCGAGGCGGTGGAAATTACTAAGCATCACAGCGTGAATAGAATCGAGGGTGTGGAGCTAGCGAGCGTGTGGAAAGCGGTCTTAGATAAGCCGAGTTGACACGTGACTGTGTGGTTGTCAATCCACTTAGGATCAGTAGAAAAAACCGGGGGGTTGGGGGTGGGAACCCCAACCGACCAAAGGTCATAGCATCCCTCTTACACAACTATCTTAGCACTAACTCACCCACACAGACTGACAGAAGGTTCAAACGGAGTTCAAGAGGAACCATCAAATGAACCGAACCAGAAGGACTAGGCTGGACCCAAACACATGTAAGTTTCCCCACCAACCCAACACTTGTTCAACCACTCTAACACACTAAAATCCCTCGGCCGACACCCAACAGGGATTCAGCTTGACTTAGCTGATTGGTTCTCCTTCCGCCTTAAATCTCGGCCAACCTCGGAACCTAGTCACTTGGCCTAACGGGGCTTTTGTGTCAAAAGCGAAAGATTGCCCATCAATAAATCTACCGATTGTCACCAAACTTTTTCGAAAAGGGTAGCTCCTTATTTCTAAACAGAACTCACTAGGTTGAGCGCCAGTGCCCTGTTTGCTCCAACTCTTGTTTTGCAAGTTGATTCTCGGTAGAGCATCTCTGGTGTAGTGACCTTTCTATGGACACCTCCAAATGCAACAAAGTGCGAGAATATCAGCAGTCACATGTGATAGGAAAGAAATAATCGTGGTGTCCACCACGGGGAGCAGTGTGGGATCTGCTGAGTAAATTTAGCGGAACACAGTATCAAAGAAGTTTCCCCCAACGGCAAGCGTGTTCAGCTTTACTTAACTCAGACAAATATTAGATTGGGCCCTCAATTGGATGATAAACTGTAAGACAACCGGTGGTTTTCTTCAAAACCATGCAGACATGCAATAAAGCAAACACTCACGGTTTCGGTCGTAAAATCCCGTTTTCTTTAGAAGTCTTTGCTTTGATGGAAATATGTGTCAGTGCTTATCACGTACATCAGAGGGTTTTGTCGTCGAAAAGATTTCAGCGACATAAAATTAGTATTACGTTAAGCTACAAAAAGACTGTGTACACTGGCGACCACGCAGTTTTATGTCCTTGTCCAAGTGATCTTTAGAATGTCTTAGTTAACGTTGCACTTTCTTCTTGACGTATTTGTTTCTGAAGTATTAGGAAGACAGCCAATTTCAAGGATTTTATACGAGAATCGAACCCGGTTGACGAAATGATATTATCATCAGAGCTAAATTTGACGGATCAAATCACATCACCCCTCTCGACTACAGTACTTACCGCATTCTACTATTGAATAATTGAATGAAGTGAGTGGGATGCTTCACACATATGACTTTCAAGGTCACCGTCAATCCGCTAGCGTTCGGGTCTTGCAACAAGCCCTCATTTCAGTGTTCTCCCAACACCTCAGTTGGTTGTGTATCGAAAACCAGACAGCCTCGATTTCAGATAAACGTTCCATGTTCCGTGAAGGAAACTACTCACAAGGTTGCTGAAAACTTCTCGACAGCCCACGACCGGTTTCGCCCTTCTTGGGGCTCATCAGGCAGGCGCAGTCCCCGAGTTTCCGTCAACTTTATGATCTACTTGAACTCAAATTGCAGTGTTTTCAAGAAATACACTCGTTTGCAAATCCATTTGGTTTTCACGATAGACTCAACTGAATCTCTGGTTTATGATATTCTACAACTGAAAGTGTTGCACACAGGCCGCCTCATGTTTTAGTTGGCACGATATTCGAGATATCGCAGTATAT